TTGTCCGGTTATGCAAAACTACGTACAAAAACAAATCTACTGAAAAAAATTTCAAGGAAACTGTCCTCCAAGTGACGTCTTCCAAACGTGTAATTACTGTTGGTTTGCGACAGTCCACTTATTTTCGTTTCTTTGGCTGAACTGCTTATGTTCCTGCTACTTTTAGAAACATACACCGCTTAAGAAAAACGAATTTATTTATATATGTAAATATGTTAAAGATTAGAAGATATAAATCTAATTTTTAACAAAAATAAAAATGATTTCTCTTGCGAAACTGGTTTTAATTTAATGCGAACTTTATGTAATAACAATTTAATTTGATTTTAAAATCCTTATTCATATTTACAAATAATTGTACAATTAAAACATAAGTACATATATATTAATATTTTATTATTCTGTCAAGAAGAGAGTACTAACCTCTATTGAAATTAAACAGAATACAACGTTAATAATTAATTATCTACAGCAGCTTTTCTTCTTGCTCCATTGTAAGTTTATAAACTTAACCGATGAACATTTTTGAAATTCAGTAGAATATATCTTTCATTAGCTCATTAGCCCTTCCAGCGAGCCGAAGGACCTGATGGTCCATCTTCTTCTTTAGGTACCGTCTCCTCTAAGGAGGTTGGTAATCATCACAGCTATTTTCACACTTTAAGATTGCAAGTCGATGGAGATGCAATTATACCACTTTCTCAGATTATTGTGCCAAAGATGCGTCTTCTTCCAATTCTTCGTTTTCCCTGTATTGTTCCCTGCATTATGGTTTATAGCAACACATATTTATCCCCTCTCATAAGATATTTCTTATCTTAATCGTATTTATGATTTCCATTTCCTTGGTCATCTTTCTAAGGACCTCAACATTTGTTATTCGGTCTACCCAACTTATTTTTAATATTCTTCGGTAGATCCACATCTCGAATGTTTCAAGTCGATCGCTGACCTCTTTCTCTAATGTCCAGGCCTCCACCCCATACAGCAGCACCGAAAACACATATGAACGTAATATTCTTATTTTGAGTTGCAAACTAAGGTCTCTATTGCGTAATACTTTTTTCATCTTATTAAATGTTGCTCTAGCTTGTCCAATTCTCATTTTTATTTCTTCTGTATATTCGTTATTTTCATTAATAATTGTATCAAGATATCTGTATTTTTTTAGTTTTTCTATTGAAACCCTTTTATGTTTAAAATGTCTTGTTGTTATGTTTGGAAATTATCATAAATTTTGTTTTATTAGCATTAAGTCCGCTTTCCTCGCTAGTATTTACTACCTTATCTAAAAGTGTCTGTAGATCTTGTATATTCTCTGCAATTAGTATAGTATCATCGGCATATCTGATATTGTCGATGGTTCTGTCTTTGACTTTTATTTCAATTGTTACATTTTCGAGTGTTTTTTTATATATTTTTTCCGAATAAATATTCAACAATAAGGGGGAGAGTTACAACCTTGCCTTACGCCTCTTTTTATCTCTAGTTCCTCCCAAAGTTATTTGCCCACTTTGACTTTTGCTGTTTGGTTAAAGTAGAGATGAGTTATTATTCTGTAACTATATAAGACGGTTGTGTCGGACCTTATCGAACGCCTTATTGTAATCAATAAAACAAACATAGAGTGGTTGGTTTACATTCATACATCTTTGCATGAGGACGTTAAATCCAAATAATGCCCCTCGTGTACCCATGGCATTCCTAAATCCAAATTGGGTTTCACATGGTCCATGTCCATTGGGTTCCATGATGGTACATGGCGAGACTCTAAAGCTCTTGGTACACTAAAACGATTCAGAGTGAAGACTTTTAAAACCTTTTTTAACACTACAGAACTAGGAAATACCTCCTGATTGGCTGAAATCAACTTTCGTCACCTTACCCCAAAAATAAAATAGTAAATGTGACTGTTATCGTATGATAAGCTTGATGTCTCACGTATTAGAAACATTCTTGAGGGGCACATACACCTGAATATACAAGAAGTGTAGGCAGCAAATGTACGACACCCAATTCGGCTTAAAAAACAGACTGGAAACTCGTGAGACTCTATTCTCATTCAATATACATTCACAGACAGTCCGTGATATAAATGTGGTAATGCCCCTGTTTTGTAGAGAATGTTTGATTGCATTCAACATCAGAAAATGGCACAAATGCTACTCAACCAACGGGTATAGATGAGTGTGACTTACGAGTCATCACAGAACTATATTTGCATTAGATATCTCAAGTTAAAATGGGGAGAACTATGTCGGAGGAGATGGTTATAAGAAATCGTGTATGACGGGGATATATATGGTTCCCACTTTTCTTTATTCTGTATTCAAAAAACATCTTTGCTGATGCCCTTAAAGGTAATAGCGTGGGAATCATAATCAACGGCATAACAATTAATAAAAAAGGCAATTACGAAATGTCGATGATACAGTTGTTCTTACCAGCAGCCTGAAGACATGGTCTTCATATAAATACAGCCTATGGTCTATATATAGATATCACCAAAACAATACTTATGGTTTACTCTAAATTACAAACACAAAGTTTCGTCTGAATACAATATGAACAGGAATCACCCAACAGATTCCTGGCTGCCTGAATAGTAATTAAGGTTTTAATTAATTAAATAATTAAGGCTAGGAAGATGTTTATCGGAATGAAAATCTTTTTCATCAGGCGGGATCAGCAATCCAATCCATTTGAATCCAAATGCTGCGCTGTTATCTAGACTCGTATCTCCTTACTAAAAAATAGAAAACAGCATCGAAGATTTTGAAGTATATCTTATAGGAGAATACTAAGCACTCTCTAAATCAAAAGAACAACAAACACAAATGCAGAGGAATAAGGAAGTGAAGCCAACGATCAAAGAGCATAAACTGACGTACATTGGGCATTTAATGAGGGGTGATAGATGCAAAAGCAGCTTTTGATCATTGAAAGTAAAACTTCGAAATGAGATGGCGCAGTAACAAAAAGATTTAAGTGATAAATTTGTATCTGTCTCTTCATGATTTTAAAGCACAGTAAAAAAATGCGTATTTAAAATAAATGCATAGATTCGTTCTTCTACGCAAGAATTAGAAAGTATTGATCCTCTTATAGTATCAAATCACCAAACTTATTCTATTTTGATAACAGTATCATCAAGAAGAAATGTAAAAAAAATAAGCTTAAGATAGAGCCTCTGAAAAGTCCTTGAAGGCCAGATTTTGACTACCATTAAAGATAAATTACGAAGATGAAAAGAATATATGAATTATTCGAAAAGGCAGCGCAAAGTCAGACTGAAATAAACAATCTCTAGGGCCCAGAAATAACAAACGAAGAAGTAACTATGACCATTAAGCGGATTAAAGATGAAAAATCACCAGGAAATGATGAGGTGGATGGTGAAATTTTAAAGCTATTAGAGGCACACCAAATCACAGCTCTTACGAAGCTATTCAACAACATCTATGAGACTGGGTATTTACCAAAAGGCTGGCTACTGTCAATATTCATTCTACTTCCTAAAAAAGCCAAAGCTAGAAAGCGTAAAGAACATAGATTAATTAATTTGATGAACCATGTACATAAAGTACTCCTTACTATCATTCACCATTATCATTACATATAGTGTTGCCCAAAATCGGTCTTGGTCTTGCAGTCTTGGTCTTGTTCTTGCGTTTTTGCAAGACCGAGACCAAGACCAAGACTGCCTAATTTTTGCAAGAACAAGACCAAGACTAACCTTGCAAGACTTGAGCAAGAACAAGACTAAGCCTGCGAGACTCTTGCATCTTTCTAGACAAATAATGTTCTTTAAAATACAGTCAAGTTTATGTAATTAATTTGGTTGTTTTGTTTTTTAACCATGTTTGTGCATACGTAAGCTTCTTTAAAGCAAACGCTTACTAAGAAACATTGACTCTCATGGGACATGGTAGATAGCTCAGCTAGTTAGAGCATAGGCACGGATCGCTTAGATCGTGGGTTCAAACCCCACCCAGTGTCAGTTGTTTAGACATTCATTAATTTGGTTGGTCTTTTTATGGCTATGTTAATCTAAAGTAACGTTTAATAAATAGGAATAGGCTAATGGGTATTTGCGAGACTTGCAAGACTCTTGCTGCAAGACCAAGACCAAGACCAAGACTGGGAGCGCAATACCAAGACCAAGACCAAGACCAAGTATATTGGTGCAAGACCAAGACCAAGACTGTCTAAGTCTCGTCTTGTTCTTGAATTTGAGCAACACTAATTACATATCATTAATACACCAAATTAGAAGAACACCTGAGTGAAGTTCAATTTGAAATCAGAGCAGGACTCGGAACGAGGGAAGCACTTTTTAGTTTGCAAGTTCTAATACAGAGAGCCAGCGATGTCAACTGCGATGTGTATGCATGTTTCATTGATTTAGAGAAGGCATTTGATAAAGCCCCACATGGAAAACTAATCGATATCCTAGAAACATCAGAACTCGATGGTAAGGATATAAGACCGATCTCAAACTTATGTCTCCAACTCCAGTCGAAAAAGAAGTTCGACAAGGTTGCATATTTTCACCAGCATTATTTACCATGGACTCTGAAAACATCATCTTAAGAGGCCTTGGATGAATCAGTCGAGGGGATTGTTGTAAATGACCAACTTGTTAACAACATTAGATATGCCGACAATACAGTGTTGCTGGAAGATAGTGCGCAGAGGTTCTAAAGGATGATAGATAACGTTAGAGAAGCATTTTTAAAGCAAAATTTATAATACCTTCTGTTAAAATATTATAACCAACTTTACTTAGTAGCAAGACGTTTACTCAATGTACACGTTATATGATAAAAATTTCGCTAATAATTTTTCATGACTGATGTAGATAATTTTAAATGAAAAAATTTTTGTTTAAAAATTGGTGGATAAAAATAATCACATTTGTCCTTTTAGATTTTTGATTTATGTAAACATGTTTTTTAACAATATCCTAAAAATATATTTTAAATTTTAATATCATAAAGTCATCTAAAAAAATTAAAATTTAGTAAAATAATTTCGTCGAATGAAAATATGAACTATTTTTAAACTTAGTTTTTTACTTTTTCCTGTATAATATGCATTCGATTCCAGAATACAGATGAAAAAGATTTAAACATACTTACGTCAGGAGACCAGGATTGTCCGTTGGATACCAAGAATACTGTGGGAGGTAGTTGTGTGGCGGGGGATGGGGGTGCGGGTGACTCGTAGAATGCGGCGGTGGGTGGATGGGCTGCTGGTGGGGCTTGATATCGCCCCAGCCACCCCCTCCGCCACCGCCCGCCCCTGGACTGGCAGCGGGTTGCGGACCCCCGGCTGACATGTCCGATCCGGGGGTGGAACTGGGAGCTGGCGAGGGGTGTTGCATGTAGCCGCCAGTCGCCGGACTACCGCTAGACGAGCCGCCTCCTGAAACAATCCAGAAAAAAGTGTGGTTAGCTGTGGATAGCATTTTTAAATACGAACTTTATACTATACATTAAATATCACGAACACTTATAATAAATTTTGCATTAGAAGTAATCTTTTACTATTAGTTAGCTTTTTACAAATATTTATTTATATTAACACCTAGATTATACAGCAATACGAGAATACATATATTTTATATTCATCTGAGTTGATCATTGTCTCTGTGAGATTTGTGTACTTTGCTACTCTACAATTTAGGAACTATAAAACTAAAAAACAAGGAGGATTTAGAGCAGGTCGTTCATGTACAGATAACATCTTCTGTCTTAATCAAATTATAGAAAAGAAAATTGTGACAAATAGAGAGTTACATATGACTTTTGTAGATCTTGAGAAGGCATATGACACAGTCCCGCTAAATAAACTATGGGAAGTCCTGGGCACATCAAACATACATCAAACATTCGTTAGTGCTCTCAAAGATCTATATTACGGTTCAAACTCCCAAATGAAATTCGGAAACCTCTTGAAAAATTCGCAGTTACTAAGGGTCTCAGACAAGGATGTTGTATTTAGAAAACACAAAATACCTCTCAATTGGAGCTGAAGCAGAACAAATCGATATCGATGACAATCAAAAAATAAATCCATGTGACGAATATAAATACCTGGGCGTCATCTTCGACCGTAGTGGAAAAGACAAACGAGAAATAGAACATTGAATTGTACAAGCACGAAGAGCTATAGCATGTTGGAACGGAGTTATATGGAGTAAAGAAATATCAAAGAAAAGAAAATGGAACATCTATGAGACAATGGTTAAAACTAGCCTACTTTATGAAACTGAGACATGGAGAATAACCGAGAAATATAAGAAAAAGGTCGAAGTCACGGAAATGGATGCCATCAGAAGATCGATGAGAATATCAAGAGCCGACAGAATACGAAATGAAGTGATAAAACAACAAATGGGTATAGAGGGCACTATAGTTGAGGATATTGAGAGAAAACAGCTCATATGGTATGGGCATGTGAGCCGAATGGGGGACGAAATATTGCCTAAAAAAACGATGATGTGGCAACCCCAGAGAAGAGAAAACGAGGAAGACCACCACAGAGCTGGAACCTGGGAGTTAGGAAAGCGATTAGAGCTCGAAATCTGGACGAAGACCTAACTCAAGACAGAATACAGTGGCGTTTGGGAGTCGGACAACGTCGTAAGACGTTATAAAACCGAATATATAGAGAAAACTGTTGAGAAGAATTTCTATTTTTTCGTTATGTAATCCAATAGATTCTACATATACTGAGATAATTTTGAATAATTCGTAGTATTTTAGATGTGATTCTTTCAATGATGAGAATGTTACAATAATTTGCTTTATCCTATAGACCCTCCACATCCTAGTGACGTCACTATATCCTAGAGGATATAGTGACATTGTTGTATTCTATATATAGCTGCTATTTATTCTTCTCTCTTCTTCGTGTGATGTGTTGCCTCAAAGACAAAGGGAGAGTAAGCAATGGTGTTCTTCATTTGGCCTGACTATGATAGTGGTGATCTTTCTCGCGTTTTTTTACGATCTTTTTTTCCTTCAACCCCAAATCTCTCCATACCATCCCTTTTTCTGATTATGTGTTAAAAATACCTCAGTATATTTTGGTTAATAATTATGGTGAGCCTAGTAAGTTTTGGTAATATTAAGGTATTTATGCTGTAAGCTGTCCAGGCTGGGCACATAATTTTCGATAGACGCACATTTCAAAGGCACATGCACATGAATTCTGAGTAAGACTTTTTGGTGTTCAAACTTAGAAAAGGTGTAGTTTGATATTCTTAGAAATGACTGTTTTTTCCAATTTAAGTAGCTTTAACAGTTGCTGATCTAACCATTGTAAGGAACTTCTTCTGTGCATTCTCCATTGCTTGTATGAACAGCGCTCAAGCAATTGACACGTCGTACCACTTTAATCCCGCTATATTTTTTATTTCCTGCTGGTTATTTCTACTTAGATCACTAATCGTGACCTTGGTCTGATGTGCATTAATTTTTAGTCCATATCCATAACTAAGGGCCGGTTGTTCGAACGCTAATCAAAACTTGATTGTAATCAAATATTTCATTACAAGCAAATACGACACAGCAGCTGTCAAAATTATTAAAAATTGCTGAATAATATTGATTTGTAAAAAAAAACACGAAATTAACATCAGAAAGAGTTTAATTATAGTTTATTTAAAACGAAAACGCAAAATAATAAAATTGAATAAAATGAATCAGTTAACATAACCTAAAAATGTTTTCAATACAATACAGTTTTGAATAGCGTTCGAACAACCGGCCCTAATAGTATCTAGTATGTTCATAAGGTTTTTGAGTTCATCTGTTGATGATGCTAGTATTAATGTGCGGTCAGCATAGCGGAAATTTTTGATTTTTATATCTCAGAGTGCTATTCCTCCTTACCTTTCATCGAAAATCCGCATAATGTATTTGCTATTTATATTAAATAGGGTGACAGAGATAAGACAACTTTGACGAACGCCGTGCCGATTTTTAGTTTGAAGATTACGTGCTGTTGAATCTTGTGGGTTTTCACTTGCACTGAGTAATAGATCCAGTCGACTGGCGCCAGTTTATTGGCACATGGAAACAATTTAAATGAACTCGTGCCAGTAAAATGGTGCCATTATTCCATGAGCCAGCAAGTTAAAAATCAGTTGTACTTTCTTTACTGTTTTTGTAATCTCTCCAACAATGCAAGACAATGGTCGACAGAGTAAAATAAAAAAAAATTGGAGATAGTCAGAAACAAACTAAAACTTCTGTGATAAATTTGGAAATACTACTTTTGGTAATCAGAGAATGAATGATATGGAGCAGTCAAAACATATTTATAACCAAAGAATAGATATAGTGAGAAGAAGAAGCAGACTCAGAGCACGATTTAGGGATCAGGTGAAGGAAGACTTGAGAATGTTGAGAGTACGAAACTGGAAAGCCAAGGCAAAGAATAGGAGAGGACGGAGACTTATCATTGAGCAGGCCAAGACCCACCATGGGTTGTGGGGCCAATGATGATGATTGGTAATTCTGGATGTGTCTGTAAGATACAAATAAATCTCTAGAAGTGAAAAATTCTAATATCACTTGCAATTTTACACGAGTTTGAATGGCATCTCTCATGTGAGTATGTGACTTTTGGTCACAATAATTTCCTAGAAGGTATATAGAAGGCCTGACGGGCCTTCTATATACCGCTGAAGCGGACTAGGCCCTTAAGGCGGATCAAGAGAATGCTGATCTTCTTCGCGACACCCGAGCACTAAGATCATATGCGGCAAGCATGGTGGCCGGACACATCTCGGGCACCCAGCCGGCGAGGAGAACAAAATTTATTTTGCCAAATCGGCGGCTGAGCGACTCCATGGACGGAACACACGCTCTATTTTTCTTTTTTTTTAGGACTCAAGTCCCGATGTGAAGTAAAGTAAAATCAATAGAGTCAGTAAAGTAAATAGAGAGAGAAGCCTAGATGTGGCTACCCCTACAGATAGGTGGCATAACCACAGTCAATAAAAACAGAGGGTGTCTCATTACCCAGGGCACCTTAAGTACCTTTCAGATCATAAGCCTCCTCACTTTTGACACACACACGTGTGTGTGTGTGTGTGTGTGTGTGTGTGTGTGTGTGTGTGTGTGTGTGTGTGTGTGTGTGTGTGTGTGTGTGTGTGTGTGTGACTTTTGGATTTTATTGGATATACAATTTAATAAAAACTCGAACTGGTTTTGAGTCATTTTTAGATGATTTAAATATGTTTCCGGATCTTCATGTGTTGACTCATCTATTAAAGTATTAGACGCCCTATCTATTAAATAAAGTACTTAGACGTGATATCCGTGGACGGACTCACCATCTGCGCTTTCGTTTTTTCTACAATGTTTTCTTCAGTATTTTTGCATTGTTAACGCTAAAATTTGCAAAATAGCATTATTTGCAGTTAACATTTAACCACTAAGGCAACTTGTGGTTCTGTTTGCTTTATTCATTTGATTTTTACTTCGGTTTCGAGCTTTCCATAGCTAGATAATATGATGCCAAGATATTTAAACTCTATCATCTTCTTCTTCAGATGCAAATCCACTAATGGATGTTAGCGATCACATTTTCCATTAATTCTCTATTTCTTGCAATATGTATTAGAGATTGTATGTCGTTAATCCCTGTCCATTGCCTTATGTTTCGGAGCCAGGACATTTTCTTGACATCTTCTTCTCTCAAACTCTATCACTTGTTTTATTATCTGACCTTCCAGCTTCAACTTAATTTGTTGTTATAAACATGCATTTTGTCTTTTTTGGAAAAATTAACATGTTAAATTTTCTGACTCTTATATTAAATTGGTGCATGATGCGTTGTAAATTATCTTTACTTTAAGAGAGTTGTATTACGTCGTCTGCATAACCTATTATTTCAAGTTTTTTTTAAATTGTTGAAAAATATCCATAACTTAATGAGAATTACTACTTGGAATATCAGATCGCTTAACTCAAGAGACTAAGAAACAACCCAAGTGCTGAAAGAAAAAGAAATAGACATTTGTGGTCTACATTAAAGAAAAAATAAAGAAAAATGACAATCAAAATTAGGTGAATACATACTAATCTACAGTGGAGTAGCAAAAGAAAACAGGGCCAAAGAAGGTGTAGCCTTACTAATACACCAAAGATACCAAAATCATATCAAATGATGTCAATTTGTAAGAGCAAAGATAAGAATGGAGAAGGAAGATCTGAACGTCAACAGAGTATATGGCCCATAAAATATCGAACTTTAAATAACAAGGGAAATGTTTTATAGCCAATTACAACAAGTAGTAGATTAAGTCAGACGGAATATAATAATATTGGGGGATTTTTACGCTCGAATAGGCAATTAAGTAGGTATCGGAATTAGACAAAAACATAACGAAAATGTTAAAAACGAAAATAGAGAACTGATGATCAACTTCTGCATGAATAATGAATTTAGAATAAAGAACACATCCTTTGACTACAAAGACCAACACAAATATACATTTAATAGCACCCGTGTACAAAGATCTATGATAGATTATGTCATAACGACTAGAAATATACATCCATCGAAAATAATCGACGTAAGATGCCTCAATTCAGCAGATGTAGGTAGCGACCATAGACTAATATTATGTTAACACGTTCGCTGCCGATCTTTAAAATGCAATATATAGTAGGGGCCGACAACGTTTTTTGAATTTTTCGTTTAAATGTTATTTAGAAAAGTTGCTTGAATAGTTGCACTAAAGCTATGTCAACTAATTTTTTTGTCATTAGATATACTTTGTGATATCACGCGCCAGCGCGTGATCGGTGTGGTCCCAGGAATTTCATCTCAATTAGCCGTATCACGCCATAGAGTGAGACAATAAAACGACGTTATTATAATACGAAAACAGAAACTATATTTATATTATATTATATATACTAATTCGAATAAAACGAACAATACATAAAAAATTTATAAAACAAAAATATTACTCAGATCAAAATAAAATAAATAAAAAAACTAAAATAAGTGATCAAACCACAAATGTCCCTGTGGATTAAACATTTGTAACTTATTTATGAATAATGGTACAGCAATCTAGACAATATCCTGGTTCACTGGGGCACGACCTACATGTGTAGATAGTATCCTTTCTTTTTCCATTTTCGTAACATAACTTGCAATGTTTTCTAGGTGTTTTCTTAATACCTGGTGGTGCCACTCTTTGTGACATAATGTGACCAACTTCTGGGGGTCGTCGGTGTGCTTGGTCTTCTTCTGCCCTCTTCTGGGCCGGGGCTAATAAACTTTGTATGACTCGAATACGAAAGTCATAAAGACTTATTTTTTGGGTAGAGTATTTGTTATATAAATGGTGTGAATTGATAAGCATCAATTGCAGCACGTGGATAAACATCTTCGTAGGCCATCTTAATGTCTTTCTCTCTGCCGGGTAATAAGAGAGCATTTGGTCATGTCTGTCAATACCGGACATATACTTATTGTATTGAACGATCGGTAAGGGCTTCGATACAATTTGTTGTCTTTTATTTGGTACATCCACCATTATGTTTCGATATTCATTAGAAATATAGGACACATTCCTCTTATCTCTCCATTTTCCTATGAGTACTCCATCTGCATACCTTCCCATTACTTCACCTTTTTTTTACTTACTGTCTTTTATTTCCTTCGGTACATGCTTTCTGTCCAATCTTAAAGTTCCCGTACAGTGTGTTTTATGATTCAATAGTGTTCTAGCTAATAAAAAACTGTTATAATAATTGTCCATATACACACTATGTCCTACTTCCAAAAAACCGTCCAATAAATGCATTACCACTTTTGATGCATGATCTTTACCACCCAGATCGTCCAGTTTTCCTGCATAAACGGCAAATTTTAAAACCATACCAGTTGGGGTTGTCAGCATGTATAATTTAATGCCATATTTATGCCTCTTATTTTTTATATATTGGCGAAATTGAAGTCTGCCTCGCCATAACACCATAGACTCATCTAAACTTAGCTCCCGTCCTGGATAATACAGTGCACATACTTTTTCGTTAAAAAAATTAATTAGGTATCTAATCTTCAATAATTTGTCTTCAGGTAAAATACCATTTTCTCTATTTTCCGTGAAATTCAGGCAACGCATTATCAATAAAAACCGATTTCGGCTCATAACTTTGTGAAATATCCCAATGCTATATAACTCATCTTGTCGCCAATAGTCTTGGACACGGTTTATTCGAATATTGCCCATGTGTAACAGTAAGCCTATGAACAGTAACAAATCTTCAGAAGTTAACTGTTTCCAGTTAGTTATCCTGGATTTAAAGCATGTTCTTTCAGATAAAAATAGATTAATGGCGTAACTGTTACTCAAATCACAAATTTTTGTAATAAAATCGTCTGTCACAAACAATCTAAAATATTCAATCGGTGTCATTCCAGTTACGTCTACTAATAATCTTTCGTGTTCAGTAAATTCAAAAACATCTTTCATTGTGGTTGGATTCAAAGAAAATTGTATAGACTGGTCTTGATTATGAGAAAGGTTTTGTGGACGTTCATTATCATTATTTTGTAACACGTACTGTTGTACACCAATATCATTTTCAGAATCCTCAGAATATACTTCGTCCGATTCATCCAAATCACCAAATACCATCTCGTCCTCGTCGGAGCTGTCATGTTCCAGTAAATATAGTAGTTCTTTTTCACTTAAAGGCTGTTTTAAATCAATTTTTACCTTTTTTGGTTGAGAAGGTCCTGCCACAATGTTATTACTTTCCGCCATTTTCACTAGACTGTCAACATACACTGGTACTGTCAAATCAAAAACCGCGCAATGTAAATCATAACCTATGATCGATCCTAGCAGGCCGACACTTATTTTTAAACTCATTCCATAAGCCGTATTTAAAAACCTACATTATAGAGCTTACAGCTATATCACGCACTGGCGCGTGATCGGCCTTTTTCCAAGTACGACCATCACGCACTGGCGCGTGATCGGCAGCGAACGAGTTAAATAAGAATGACCCTGAATTACTTCACACTCAAGAGAGCGGTCCCAATACAAACAAAAATCAAAGTCGTAGGAGTAAATACGGAATCCGAATCCATGGAAGATAGTTGGGAATAAAATATTAGAAAACATTTAAAATTATAGTTACATTGATTAATGGTATTCTTAACAAAGTATCATGTCTAGATCACAGTCCGGTATAAGAGGTACAAAAATGAGAATCTGCTCTGGTTGGTCCTAACTGGTGGACACTATACCAATAAGAACTGTATTACATATAATTTCGTTTTATAACTCCTATACAATATTTTCCAAACTATATAGAAACATCTGTATAGTAAAAATACCATAAAATAACAGTTTACCTTCCATTTTGATCCTACCTTGCATCATATTCTGACCCTGTGGTCCCGGACTACTAGAAGGCATATTGGAATTAGGACCTAACAGACCAGAATGACCACCAGGTGTACCGTTGTTGTTGGTACCGCCCGTCACTTGTGCCGCTTTCATCATCTTCTTGTATTTACTTCTTCTATTTTGAAACCATATTTTAACCTGCAACAAAAAAGATATTAAAGTATTTTTCAAAAATAATAGATTATCGTTGTTTGTACAATCCAAATGTCACAATATCATTTTGTTAAAACAATTAGTACGCTCTTAAGTACCATATTTTATAATGACACAAATTTTATAACAAATTGTATTCCTCTGATTTAATTGTTTTATCAATATCTGAATGAAAATGTGTTGCCACATTGTTCTTAATTTTTTTTATCACATACGAGAGTTCTATGCTATCGTCACACCGCGTTACTCTGTTTTCGAGAGTATTATTTAAAATTCCTTTTATTACACTACACGTCATCTTCATCATTCTGGATTTATACCTAGACTCCTTAAAAAATTCTCTCAAGTCGTTTGTATACATCTTCTTTGTCCGCAAAGTACGTATTCCCACATATTTTCATCGATGTTATCAAGGAACCTTATTTTGAGTCTTCTTATCTGACCAATGGGTCTATCAAGGAACGCTGTTCTAGCTGGATAAACATGTATCATCATCATGCTCTACCCATCCCAGACGTAATGTCTTAATTTATTTTACAATGTCTGTCTATTTTACAATTTATTAATTAAATTCATATATACGCATTTGTACAAACTATATTATCAAATTGTATAATAAATTTAATTGTTCTTGTCATTACTAATTTTTTATATTCATTAATTTTTTGGAACCTCATGGCAAGGAAAGATTTCTTTATGCTGCCAGCTAACTTAAGATTTCTTTTTGTAAATGATTTTATATATTGGACTTCCTCTTGCCCCCCTTGTTGGTGTAGCACCCTAACTAATACCTACTTGGTGTTCTTAACAATTACTTATCTAAAAGATGTAGAAATCCTAGCTGCTACCACGATGAACAAACATCTCTATTGAAGCCTAACATGACAAAGCCAGAGGACCGACATCTCTATCTTTAAGTTAAAATTAGACTAATGCTAAAAAAATTGTATTTGAACTGTGAACGTCAAGTAGGATATCGAACATTTTTCTTAGTGTATTGATATAAATTTGGTGTGTAGCAATAAATTTCTTAATTAAAGCTATTTCATTCATACGTCAGTTAATAAAAATACACGTGATGTTTTGTCAAGAAGTAACATTGGAAATTCATATGTCAAGTCCTCATCAAGCTAACGCCATAAAAAACAGGTACTTGAAAATCATAATTTATTAGACACATTCGATATGACATGCTCGTGAATATTAAAATGTTATTTACGAGGGAATTTACGTACATATGGTATCATAAATTCATTTGTAAAAACTTGAGAAATAATGTAATAGCTTTTGATAGTACCTACTCAATCTTTCTATTATGTAAGAGACATTGTAAAGGCCAAGTGATAAATTTCACACTATTCTATTAGATCGGCCACATTTCTTAAGTTGTCCGAACACTAATTAAGCAAAGGATTTATTATAAATATATGTCCATAAAAATGAATCTCTTAATTTTATAATATTTTTTCCTATTTTTTCCTGCAAGAGATTTTATGTTTTCGTTTCTTTGTTTGGACTTTCGTTTAGTTAAGTTTGTTTCTTAAATTGGACTCTTCATATTCTTGGCATTTGTTTTTTTTTCCGGAAAACTACAGAAACATATAAACATATATAAATATATATTCTCATTGATTACTCCTATTCCATCTTATCCCATCACTATCATTAATAAATATCTATTTTCTAAAAGCTAATTCTATTTCAGAGGCCACCAATGGCAAAAAATTAACGTTAATATCTGATAACATATAGTTGAACAATTTCCAGTCCACCCCAGAACTTTCAACAAAATATGCTTCTCTTCTGTACACAAAAATCAATAATAAGCTTAAAAAAAAACCCTTTTAAATCTTAATCCGTTATACTTGTACCAGTTAAAATAGCCCTAAAAAATACAAATTATAGGAAAGGTGTTTTCCAACACCAAAACTCCATTCACCCCTTTAGAACATATTAATATTGTCTATCACATACCCTGTGCAGAGTGTTACTACTGCTACATTGGCCAGACCAGCCACTCTATTCAAGGTCGTCTTACTTCTCAGTAAAGCAATATTAGGATTTTCAAACCCTCTTGTACCCTAGCACATTATGCCATCTCAACTAAACCTAAAATCGACTTCACAAACGACAAAATACTGGCCAAGTAACATTATTATCACAAGAGATCCCTTCCTTGAAACGTGCCATTTTCTTAAACATCCATCAGCACTTAATAAACGAACTGGTATCGATAATTTAAACAAAATTCTTTAAGAATGGAGATCAGGCATTCTTATACCTCTCTTCAAAAAGGGGGACAAATCAGACCCGGAAAATGACAGAGGAATTAATTTATTAAACCCAACACTAAAATTAACAACCAAAGTGATTAAAAATAAATTTATTGAAATCATAACATTAGTAGAAGAACAACGAGGTTTTAGGACGGGAAGATCATGCACCAACGCTATATTTATAATGACGCAAATGCAAGAGAAAGCATTAGAATACAACAAACCGGCATATCTATGTTTCGTGGACCTTACAAAGGCATTTGACCGGGTCAAATTAAAAGACTTTATCCACTTACTATAAGCAAGAGAGAAACCTCTAGGAATAATCAAAACGATCGAACATATCTACCGAAACAACACAATAAAAGTAAGCGTAGAAGAAGAACTAACCGATCCAATTGAAGCTGGCAACGGGGTAATACAGGGAGATTCATTGAGTTCTCTATTGTTCAACCTGATTAAAGATGAAATAATAAAAAAGTAAGAACTAAAAAAGGATACCAAATGGGAGAAAAAGAACTTAAAATAATCTGCTATTCAGATGACGCAGTATTACTCTCTCAAAGTGAAGATGATTTACAACGTATGCTGCAAAAAATTTAATATAACCGCCATAAAATTTAACATGTTAATTTCACCAAAAAATACAAAATGCATGGTTACAACAGCAAATTTACTAAGATGTAAATTGGAGCTCGATGGTCAGATAATAGAACAAGTCATGGAGTTTAAATAACTAGACATTACATTATCTAGCCACGGAAAGCTCAAAACCGAAGTGGAAGATCAAGTGCATAGAGCAAACAGAGCCGCAGGCTGCATAAATGAAACAATATGGAGAAATAAAAATATCGGGAAAGAAATAAAAGGCAGAATTTACAAAACATACGCGGCAGAAACAAGACCTGATACAGAAAGGACAATAAGGATGTTAGAAACATCAGAGATGAGACCGCGATCTCATATATGTTAAATTGACCTCCTTTTTTCATATCTTTACTCCACAGTATATCATTAAGACATAATCGCAAGACTTTTTTGACTTGTCTAACTCATTTGTCTATTTCTCGTGAATCGGTGCCGGTATTATCAAAGGTAAGACCCAGGTAGTCATAGCACTGACAGCAAGATAGGTTTTCTCCATTTTCGAGGTCTAGGTTCTCTGACTAGTTTCCAATAGAAAGATATTTGGTTTCTTTGTATGGTTCTTTTAAGATTCTGCATTAAATACCTTTTACGTTGCATTTGCAATCCGTCCTTTAAGACAAATTGGACTAGAATTCGAAACGGGGATGACTATTCTGACTTGGAAAATACCTATCACTTCTTTAATCATGGTCAAAATAGGACAGTTAGGAAAATAATTTGAAAGAGACACCTGTTAGACAATCGGTTCAAGATAAAAAATGAAGTATATGTGAGAAATAAGGTAAGAGGATGATAAATGTAGGGGAAATAATTTTTTTGATTGTTTCTTCTTCTTTTTCTTCTCAATAATTAAAGAATTAATGTATTGCAGCTAAATTTTTGATGTTATCTTATGTTTTTAAATGTAAACGCAAAAGATTAGGCCAAATAATTTAAACTAATAAATAAATCAATAAAAATACAACATAAAAAACTTTAAATATGACACAGCTCAATCTAATATATTAACCCATTAACTGCCAATTTTTCTTTTCTTGCTAATATCGATTTTTTGAATACTGATGTATAATTATTTGACAAAAATAGACTCCATTGGTATGTATTTATAAAATCTGTCATTTTTTGACGTTTTTTATCGTGGATCCCCAATTGGGGATCATGGCATATACTATGCTTAATAATAACATAAGTACAAGGTTAGTGCAAGGTATATTTTTATTACAAAATATTGACAAAAAGCAATTAGTTTGAATGCCAAGCAACTACACATTCTACATGTAAACCAACATTACATTTAGAACACTGTTTTCTTACATTCGATTTGCAGACCGCACATTTCCTTTGCTTGCCTTCGGGAGTCCTTTCAAGATAATGTCCAACTGGATCTCGTCTCACTGGTTCAGGCACACGTTTTTGAGATTTCATTTTTAAAGATGGTCTTCCAAGCTTTTTTGGGTCTGAAAGTGAATTCACCCTTAAAAGAGCTTTGGCTACAGCTCTCCTGAAATCAAGTAATGGAACACTACCATTTGCAATAGAGTAGACTGCGTGAGCATTTACTAGAGCCATATCAATAACGTTTGTAAATAAGGGGAAATACCATCGCTTTGCTCTAATTTTAATTCTATATTTTTGGATATTCCAATCTAATTTGTCTACTCCCCCCATATATTTATTGTACTTAGCTATAACATTGGGCTGAGGCAAAAGTATTTCTTTTTTTTCCGTTCGCGACCATCTAGCGACTTTGGCTATTGGCAGGACCTCTTCATGATTTGACAGGAGTTTGACACAGCTATTGTCTTTCCACACTACCGCAAATATATTGTTTGTTTGGTCAAAACGGTAATCAAAAAATCCCCGCTTCTCTTTTTTTACCTCATTGTCAGATGTCAAAGGACAACGGCCCATTCGGTTACTGCGCACTGTTCCAGAAGCGCAGACCTTCTTATCAGATAGCTCTCTCATAAGTTCATAGCTGGTAAAAAAGTTATCAAAGTAGAAACAATGCTCAGAGGGATTTTCGATAACCTCCATTTTTTTCAAGATTACAGAAGATCC